AAAACACGCTGATTCCTGGACCATACGTGGGCTGGATTTAGAAGGCGATTGGGCTGGATCCAGCCCCCGGACCTTAGGTTGCCTACCCATGCTCTACATATATGGTAAAAAGTTCAGTTTCGAACTTTTGACACAGCACTAGGAAATGACATCATTCATTGTAATACATCACCCAGGCATACAGCAATGCCCTCTTAGTTGCCAAAAAAAAAGAGTGGCAAGCCTATACGAAGCACTAACAGGTGGCCAAACAGACTCTTCGGTCATTGTTTTCCCTAACTCAATACTTGGTATGCTGATTGTCCATTGTTCTCAAATAATTTGGAATTTAATTGGGGGAGATAAGTCCTCAGAGAATTTGGAAGAAATTACAAACTCGCTGCCAACAACCAAAAATGCTGTCCCTGGAAAACTGGTGGAAAGTATTGTTAAAGGTAAAATAATCAGTCTTATAGAAGAACAAGGCTCACTGCAGCAGAGTCAGCATGGCTTCTGCAAGGACAAACCTATTAAGAGTTCTTTGAGAGTGTCAACAAGCATATAGATAGCGGTGATCCAGTTCTTGGACTTTCAAACGCTTTTGACAAAGAACCTAACCGGAAACTCCTGACTAAGCTTGGCCGTCAAGGAATAAGAGGAGAAATTCTCTTGTGGATCAGGAATTGGTTAAGTTGCAGGAAGCAAAGAGTAGGCGTAAATGGACAGTTCTCCAAATGGAGAGAAATAGAAAGTGAATCCTCCCAAAGACTTAGCTGGTCTAGCCTGAAAACTGCTTCTTTCCATTCTGCTTGTTGTGGCCATCACATACTTTTAACTCGCAGCAGCAGCCAAGCTGAAAGAAGAGGGCTGAGAAAATGCCTCTTTGGTCTGAGCCAGTCGAGCTGTCCAGGAAATGAATAAAGGCTACACAACTGAGGAGCAGAGGTCCAAGAGGAACTGAGAAAATATCTCCTTGCTTCTGTGCATGAACCATAAGAACAAAATACTTGAGAATGATTTCCACAGACCCATTTCCAAAGAATTTGTGGAAGATGTTTATTAATCTTTTGAAAATAGTAACAGTTTAGGGGGCGGGAACCTATGGCACTCTCATTGTTCTTCACTGGATTGATGCCCTGTGGCAGTTTTAATGTTCCTGTTATTATAATCCGATGGGATCCAAATTATACAGAAGAACACTGCAAGCTCATCATTTAATGAAGATAGCTGGTTGCCAACTATATACTCAGCCCAAAATTGTGATCAGCATTTAAAACAAACCTATTCTAAAATTAAAACAAAGTTTGTACACTTGTGGAAGCTTGCTGCCTGTCATACATTTCACCTATTCAATCAGAAACAAATACTTCATTCCCATCCTTTGTTTCTCATTGTAATCCTTAGCTATATATTAGCATTCATTTTCCAATAGAATAATGGCCTGCTATGGTACACTGCCAGAAAGCTTCAATATGTTTCCAACTTAATTTTGTTAATATGCCGTAGATTGATGCCAGCAGAGCCACCATATTGCCGTCAACTTCTGTGGTTTATATCCAACTCAGCTGCCAGCAAAGCTTCCATCAGTGAAATGGGAAAGAAAGCAATTTCTGGCAGTTCCTCTTTACCTTTCAGCCTCTTCCTCCTCCCCATATATAACCAGCGTGCTTAAGTCTAATTAATGCATTAAGGGGTTAATACCATATAGTAAGCTGTCCTGCTAGGCTTAGTGAGGTCACTTCCCCTTACTTTGGGAGGAATGGGTAATGAAGCCTTTTGGCCAACTTCTAGTCTACCTGAGAAATGTGGCATCTAAAGAGGTTTGACCTGGTTGCTCCAGCTCAGACTGCCTGGCTCTCACAAGCTACTCTTGAGTTCCTACACCAATAATTTAGGGACTTTTACCACTTTGTAACTAAGCCAAGTTTTACTGCCTGTGAAACTTTTTCTGAATGCAAACAATGCCTAGGTGACGCCATCACACCCAGGGCTGGCCCAAGACATTTGGGCACCCGAGGTGGCCCCCCAAATGGCTTCTTCCTGCCTGCCAAAGAAGAAGGGGTGAGAGAAGATCTACATCAGGAAAAAGGAGGAAGAAAGATTGATTGATATCGGGATCTGCTGCCTGAGGTGGTCCCCTCACCTGCCTCATGCGTGGGCCGGCCTGATTACACCTTTTAAGGAACCTTTGATCCCAAGACAAGCCAGTCTTAGCAAATTAACCCCACAGTCCCCAAACTTGCAATAAGTACAGTACGTCCAATACAGTTCAGAGCATTTCCTTCACAGGCGACATTTCCATTTTACCTCAGTTTAGTCTATCATTATATTTATCATTTATTATTATTAGCAATAAATCCTTTGATCATTCAGACATTTTGTTAGCCCTTATATTCATTGTTAGGGTGTACATGCATTTTATTGAACTAATACGTGCAAATGGGAAGTAACTAAAGCTTCGTAACAACAACAACAACAACCAATAAATTTATACCCCGACTTTTCCCCTGATGGCATTCAAGGCAGCTTATAGGTAAAAAGAAGGACCATTACAAGCAGTGGGCAAAAAAGAAAAAAGGGGGGGCTGTTTAAGGAGGAGAACCCGTGGGACACATCTTTGCACGGAAATGCTGGAAATGACAAGGAAGGGTAGCTTGGAGGTGATGTCACCGTATACGTGAAAGATGACAGAGTCAAACCAGCTTGAAATCCCAGAGGGGCAGACTATATTAGGGAATAAGATAATGTGCAAGAGAAGCAAATGTCTTATAAACCAGAAAGGGAAGTTGGGGGAAGTCGTGGGGTGGGGGATATTTTGAAACTTAGTTTGGGATTGTATTATCAGTAGTGATTATGTTAAAATTTGTTGTAAAACCTAATAAAAATATTTTTTAAAAAAATCCCAGAGGGGCAGAATCCAGCACATAGTGTTTTTAGTGGCGTGGCAATAGACATTTCGAGGATACACTATCACCCCCCTGACCCAAATCCCCAGAGACAATCCTGAGATGGAGAATAAAGTTAAAGAGGCATCCAAAAGAGAAGAGTTGTTGCAAAAGCTGAGTTCAGCTACCTTCACATTGACTGGGTGTTCCTGTTATGATAAAGAGGTAAAACTTACAATCTAAATGAGCATGCCCCAGAAGAGCTGCTCCTGGAACCTTCCAGAGGACAAGTAAGCATAGAAGTGGATCTGGTGCAAGATGGAAGTATTTGTGGAACTGATTTGGAAACTTGAACCAATTCAGCATGTATGTCAGAAGACAATCGCCAGCAAAGTCAAACACAGTCACATTTGACTCCCAAAGAGAAAAATTCTGAAAAAAGGAAGTTGAAAAGGAAAGTAAAATGTCTCCAAGCCCCAAGAGGATGCCAGCACAGGTAACAAGCAAAGTCAAGGATGCTCTTAGGAGGCAAGAAGGCAGCTGTCAGAAAATGGAAATCTTGGCCAAGTGAGCAAAACAGAACAGAACACAAACCTTGGCAAAAGAAATGCTTGCAGACAATAAGAGATGCTAAAAATAAAATACCAAGAGTCATGTACAAAGAAGCAAGTCCAAAAATAAAAAAACCCTTTAAATATTTTGGGGTTAGGACAGGGAAAGCTCTTCTGCCCAGGAAGTGATTGAAGTTGGAAACGAGTATGTAGAAGTTTATTCCCCTCCTTGTGGGAGGCTTCTGAGAAACCTGGGAGCTTGGATTGCAAGCCAGGCTCAGGTGAAGTGCTGGTCCATCTCTAGCAAGGTTTAAACTCTTCAAGCGTTGCTAACAAAATGATGTTACTATCAATCTTTTTGTTTGGGTGTTTGGCAAACCAAAATGCAACTTTTAAAGGTTGTAACTCTTTGTAGGCATGTTGGCTCAATTCTAATCTCTTTACAGGACACATTTACTTTTGTGTATCCCAGTGTGTGTGTGTGTGTGTGTGTGTGTGTGTGTGTGTGTTTGTAGTATCTCCTGCAAACCTCTCCTTGCCATCTGTTCCTGTGTAGATAATTCCTGTTAAGGTGACACCATAGAATCATAATCCAGAGTCTCCTTTTTACCTCTTTGTGTTTGCTAAGCCTGTTCCTCAAACAGTCAAAACACAAATAATCTTCTAACTGACAACTAAGGCCTCACAGCTATTCCCAAAGGAAAAGCTGCAAAAGTTGCATCCTGGCACACAGCCCACAGGAGTGTGCTGCATTTGATGTGGAAAAGGGAAGCAGGAGATGTGTGTGTGTGTGTGTGTGTGTGTGTGTGTGTGTGTGAGAGAGAGAGAGAGAGAGAGAGAACATGACCCTACTCTTCTTTTGAATGCCTAGCAAAAATAATAATAATAAAAGAAACAGTTGGGTAAGGGGCAAAAGAAAATGAGCTCCACAGTATCAGGCTCCACAGAACAGGGCACAGCAGTTGCAAGAGCAGCCCTAGAACTAGAAGAGTGGAGCAGGGTATACTTTTCAGGCTGGAGGTGCCCCATTCAAGTCCTGAAAAGCATTTTCAGAACCCACACTATCAGAAGACACAGCGCATAGGCCAATAGCCCAGTTCCCTTGTGGACCCTCCAACTCTTTTGGCGCACTCACAGCCCTGGCAACCTACGATTCCTTTGCCCCTGTGTTGTCTGCTAGGCCAGCCCTTCTGGTTAGCATCCAGGTGAGCTCAAAACCTCTTCTCCTCTTTCTGCCCTTTTATACCTTGGCAGCATACCTTAAGGATGGCCTCTCCCCATACAGACTGACCCAGACCCTGTGCTTGTCACCCAAGGCCCTTCTCTATGCCCCCACCTGCCTAAGAGGTTTGGGGGGGGTCACATGAGAATGGGCCCATTTCTAAAATGCTCTCCTCAGAGGCTCACTTGGCGCCATCATTGCATGCCTTTAGGCACCAGGCGAAAACATTACCCAGACCTTCGGTTATTAAACAATTGATGGCCTTTTAAAGTGGGGGGGACTGTTATGATTTTCCCCCTGCAATTGTTTCATCATCATCATCATCATAGGCCATAGCACCCATCCCACTTGGGAGCTCTGGGATGCCTGCCAGCTTACAGTTCAGGCCATTGGCCCTAACCCTATCAAGCCCACCCCAAGGCCTGGTGTTTCCAGCTTGTTCTAGAATTTCAATGGCTTTATTGAACAAGCTCTGAGATGGAGGTAACCCTGAAAGGAAAAGAGCCCATAAAAAGCTATTCACGATGGTTTATTATTGGATAACTGCAGGTATTTCTCCTATACATTAATACACTTTTGTCTTAATGTATTACAGATGAGAAGTGGTGGCATTTTTCGATAATCTTGTGTTTCATTCAGGAGATGCTGTAAATTTAGTTTTAATCATGACGAAAGCATGATTAAATCAGGAACACCCTAAATCAATATAATCCAGCTTGCAAAGCTCAAGGATACAGATAGAGTCCACTCCACATGTACTTTGCATTTGAGAGTGTTTGAAAGCTGCTTTCTTTTCTAAAATATCTCTCATTAATATTGTAGCCCTGACCAGCATGAAAGAATTAATGAAGAATTCTTCAAGAGCTCATCAAATGTGAAGGATTTTTTTTAAAAATGCTATAACAAAGGAGAGCCTTTACAGTAGAATAACAAATCCTCTACAGTGGTACCTCTGGTTACGTACTTAATTCGTTCTGGAGGTCTGTTCTTAACCTGAAACTGTTCTTAACCTGAGACACCACTTTAGCAAATGGGGCCTCCCGCTGCCACTGCGGCGCTGCCACATGATTTCTGTTCTCATCCTGAAGCAAAGTTCTTAATCTGAGGTACTATTTCTGGGTTAGCAGAGTCTGTAACTTGAAGCGTATGTAACCTGAAGTGTAACCCGAGGTACCACTGTATAGTTCTCAAAGCCAACTTCCTCCAGAACTAATTAAGTGGAACTAAGCCAGAGAAGATGGTCTGGGCCACTGAATTTTGCTGTTTTGCATGATGCTGTAAGCTTAGGGCACTTCATTTTTGGTAGACTTACTCTGAATTTTCACAAGACGAATTGTAATCCTTATTCTTTTGCACCAATCCTTCCTTTTTTGTTGAGAACCTGCTTTGCCTAATAAATTTCCTGTTTGCCTTGAGGGTACAAAAAAACAAATGTTCTGAGGTTCTGTTTGTTTAAATTATGTATTTTCCTCTTAATAGAATTCCTGTTTGGGAACTCCCTAGTGCATCAGGCTAGAAGAAGAAGAAGGTTCCTTCAGCACAATTCAACTCAAGGGAAAAGATGCTCCATTTATAGTTGTTGTTTTCCTTTCTTTCCAGGGAGGCAGTCTGTATTCAGAGTACTTCCTCCAGCACTTTGTATACAAACTATTCCCGCAGAGGAGAAACTGCTCTGCTTTTGTGAGCATCTCTTCATCTGCTTCCTGTATGGACAATCAAATGATTGTTGGTTGCACGGAGCTTCTTATTTGAACTTTGACAGGTTTCTGTCATCTGATGTTATTATAGCATGCGATTGACAGGTGGGCAGGATCACCAACCTGTCAAAGTTTTCCTGTGAGGGGAAAAGGATCTGGCCTGCTGGTCACAGAGGCACAAATGCTCCCTCTCTTAAGAGCTTTCCTTAGTGCATCTCTCACATAGGTAAGTGCAGGCGCAGAAGACAGGCCAAGGTGCAGACAAACTAGTACTCTCTCTGCCCCTCCCCTTCAATATTTCCAAAGAGCATTAAAAAAAACCCTTTTATTTAAATTGAACATTTAAACATGTTGCACTTATTACAAAGGCATTTTTAAGGACTTGAACCACAAGTGGCAGTCCTTATAATTTATTATTATTAATTAATCTCTTTCCCATCCTTCTTCCCAAAGGAGCCCAAGGAGCCAAACACCAAAGTGGGGAAAAATACAATTAAAAATAAAATTAAAACATATTTTAAGACATTGAGAATATTAAAAAAACCAAACCCATGTCACATACCCGGTCACATACTCTCACAGCTAATAATTTCAAGGTTGCCAGGAACCATGTATTTCAGCCATCAAATGCCTGGATAAACCTGAATGAAAGCTAATAAAGATGTTATGCACGTTTCATGTTGCTCTTCTCCTTGATGCCTGCAATTATTAGTTTAATAATATCTTTCTGCTATATTGTTAGCACTAAGAATATAATGAAAGGACATCACAAGAGCCTTCTTGGATTCGACCAAAGGCCCATCATGCGCAGGGTGTTGTTTCCACAGTGGTCAAAGAGATGCCTGTGGGAAGCCCACAAGCCACACCTCAGAGCCACAAGGCAATTCCTGCTTAGGGTCCCCAGTCCATGGTGCTCAGTCCCCCCTCAGCCAGGTAGCCCAAGGCCAGTCACTGCCTCTGAGCCTGGCCCACCTCACACAGTTGTGGGGGGGATAAAAGGGGGGTGTGGAGCCCTTTGAGCCCCTTGGAGGAAATCAGTCAGTCAACATCATGACTAGCGACTGTAGATAGCTTTGTCCTCGATGAATTTGTCTAGTCCTCTTTGAAGGCCATCAAGGCTGGTGGTCACCCCTAAATCTTAAGTAGTTGAACTATGAGCTTTGAGAAGCTTTGAGTTGTATCTGTTACCTGCATCTGGGTCGTGACGCCCCTTCCTCACCCCTGCAATTTGGCTGCAAAGGCTTTCTTGAGCAGGGCTGGGTTGAGGGATTTCACTCTTCAGGAAACGGGCAGCGGAGGAAGGCAATGTTATCCTCTAGCAAGGTTGTTGCAGCCTCAGACATCCATCATTCCTTTGCTTCTGGACACAGCGGGATGTTGGCTCTCCAAGGAGATGCCATTTATAAACACAGCAGTGTTTGTGTGATCAATCATTAGGTGACCATTTTTGCTGTCTCGAGAGATGGCCTAGAGTCATGCACAAAGGGCCAAAGGAGTGTACCTTGCAGCAACACCTCCACTGCCCTGCCTCCTGCCAGGTGGCACAATGGGTCTGTGCATCTGGCTGTTAACCAGAGGGTTGGTGGTTTGACCTCCCCAGGGACGGCTTGCAGGGGGTTGGACTAGATGGCCCTTGGGGTCCCTTCCAATCAATTATTAATTAATTGAAAAGCCAGTCAAGGAGGCTGGGCTAGGCATGCACAATTTGCAGGTGCTTTATAGGTTGAAAAGTAACAGCCTTCTCTTAGGCACATAACCAATTGCTTTGTTTGTACCCACTCCTCTCATTCCTTCTTTTTGGCAAGTATAAGCACAGCCTCCTTTTCATTTCCTGCTGTTCTCTTGCTGTGCTTGTTGGCCTGGCAAAAAGCAAAGTTAATTAGAACACCTCCCCAGGCACAATGGGAACTGCATTTAGACAGAAAGCAAGAAAACGGAATGCTGCAGGCTTGTGCCTCCTGCCCTGTTCCTGTAGACATCGAGAGCCAAGCTCCTTTAACAGAAGATTGCAGCCCTGTGTGTGTAGCAGCACAGACATGGCCAGTAGATTAAAATACAGCTTCACATGTTTCTTGGTAAATAGACTAGAAATATTTAGTTCTTTGAGAGTCATCAAACAGTCCACTTTGCTGTGCCTTGTGCAAGTTCTGTTTAAAATAGTTTGCATTTATTTGTTTTATTTCATGTTTTATTTCAGAGTTATTGGCTGATGTTTCCTTTCTGATTTTTAGAGGGAAGTGGCGGGGAGAGCTCAAATACAACATTTAAATTATACAACATTTATATTTTTAGTATAAAAGCCAACATTTAGGAAAGTATTATTTTGGCCAGTAAGATGACCACTTTAAATTCCCCAGCCAATACATTTAATTTTTTAAAAAACGAAGCATTAATGATGTTAAGTTGTGGGTGAACATATCAGACGACACAGCGATTCTCCAAACAGCTCTTGTTTATTCAGAGGCCAGAACAGAACTGAACTGAAGGGTTCAGCCAGCCTGCTTATATAGAGCTCCTCTAGAACGCAACAGTAACCATTTTCTGTAACTATCCAATCACTGAACATCACTTTCGATCCCTTATTTGCATATGTGGACCTGAGTGAAAACTATCTACAGTATCCCCCTGCTGGCCCAGGGTGAGAACTTCAGTACATAACAAATGATATTTCCCCCCAACATCCAGTCCTTTCATACCTTTCAACATTTTTTTGGCATGAGTTCTTATAGGCTAATCTACTTTGATTCACTTCCACATGCTAAATCACTGAACCTCTCTGCCAATGTTCTGTGCTTTATTTTTTATTCAGAATTCATTATATACAAAGAAGGAAAAACAAAACAAAAAAGGTTAGCACTTTGATGTTCATTCATTGCATTCTTTTGATGACATAAGTCCCTACCAAAAGAAATGGATTAACTCGTACGCATTCTTAAACCTTGAACTATGGCTGTAAGGAATGGAGCAGGGGGTTAAATGCCAAGTGTATCACGGCAGAGACTGTTGTGCTTTAAGAAACAGCACAACTGTTTACACCTGCAGGGAGGAAGTGCAGATCTTACAGTATGACCCAAAGCATTGTGGGCAACCTTCCCTCTCCCCTGCCAAGATGGATCTCAGCCCTTCTTCCTCCTCCTTTTTCCCAGGAATCCCTGCTTCCAAACTCCCTTTTCCTGCCCCCCCTCAAACAAACACACCATCTCCTTGGTAACATCTCACTCCCCAGGTGAAAAGATTTCTCTCCTCTAGGCCCTTGCTTGGCCAAGCTGGTTTGCATCATCTAGCGCAGGAATTCCCTGTCTGGCACAGTTCTGCACTTCAATCCATATCCCAATTAATCAGAACCCTGGCATTTATTAATTTAGAGGGTTTACACCACGTTACTCCCAGATATGTGGGCACAGGAGGGCAGCCTAGGAGGCTTTGGTTTAGTGTTGGCATTAGGGGAAACAAAGTTCTTGTTCTTTTCACACAACATATCTCCACAGCCAGGAGCAGCAAGAGAGAGTTGACTGCCCATGGGGATCATGAAGTTGTCTCTGGGGGCAGGACCAGCAAGGGCTAGACTCTCTCTAATTTTATGTTATGCTTTGCCCACATGGCAGCCATTTTGTAACTGGTGCCCACAATGCACTCTCACAGTTCCAAATGTGGCCACGAGTCCCAAAATGTTGGCAGCTCTTGAGTTCCATGGAAGCACTGAGTGAGCTCACTGGGCAATTTGGACTGGGATGACCCCCGCAGGCTTATCACACTGCACTCTATTTCTCTGTGTCATATGAATCAAGTGAGGCTGTTCAGGTTCTGGGATGGTGCTTGTTTAAAAATGTAGAACTGCTACCTTGAATCAAGGTTAGGATCAGTTTGGGGCACAGAAATTACTTGGTTGCTCTGTATGATGACCTCTGACAGAAGAGGGATGTGTGTGTGTCCGCCCTTGTCAATCCTCCTTGATCTGTCAGCAGGTTTCAATACCACTGACCTTGGTATCTTGCTGGAATGGCTGTCCAAGTTGGTGGGCAGCGCCACTTGGCAATGGTTCCAGTCCTGTTTGGATTACCATATTCAGAGATGTTGTTTGACCTTGTGAGCCCTCAGCATAGGAGTCAACTCCTAGGGGCCATGGGCGCTTTGGCCCCCACAATAATATATTTGAGGGGGCTGGGCCCCCACAAAGTTGATGGGCGTTCCAATTCAAATAGTGGTGTGTGCATTGTGTCATGTGATTGATTATGCAGGGCAGGACTTACCTAGGCCCCCACAATATTCTATTCAAGTTGTCACCCCTGGCCCTCAGTGAGCCACAGGGTTTGATCCCCCCTTGCCCCCCCGCTGTTTAACATCTACACGAAACCACACTGGGGTCATCCAGAGTTTGGGAGTGCAGTGACAGCAATGTGTAGTTCTGTTTCTCCTTTACATCTGCAGGGTTTGCCGTGGATGTGCAAGACTAATGTCTGACCTCAGTCATGGACTGGATGAAAACCAACTGACTGAAGCTTAATCCAGATAGAGTGAGACATTGTTAGTGAGTGGTTCCCTAGATCAGATGGGTGCAGAGGTGGACTTTGATAATACGGCACCCTGTGCGAGGCTAAAATTTGGCATCCCCCAATGGATCTTCTCCATTTTGCATCCCCTCCAATCAGCACCCTTGATGGGGAACCACCTGTACTGCCCTAAATCTGGTGCTGGGTGGGTGTGGAAGGGGTGCACTGCCTCTTAAGGAGCAGCTGTGTAGCCTAGACCCACTATTGTCACTTGAGACAAGTAGCCTCAGTGGTGGTCCTGCTATGCCCCTATCTGCACAAGGATAGCCTCACTTCTGTTGTCTAGGCTCTGAAGCTCAAGATTAGATTTCGGCAATGTGTTCTGGAATATAATAAACCTAAATAAATATATTCTGTGTGACATTTTGCATCAGTTATATGTAGAGATATCAAGATCATTCATAAGTACAGTTAGAGAAAGAAATGTGATAATCAATGAAAAGAAATTAATAGATGGCCCTGTTGTCATTGCTATAGGTCATGGAACCAAAGGAGTGTTTGAACTTCTGTCAGGATGGCGCCGGACCAGAGAGAGCCTGCCGTTCAAAGACAGGGTTGCCGACGCCTACTCTGATGTGATGGTCTCCTACACCATGACAAGCTCCTTGTACTTCATCGCCTTTGGCATGGGTGCTAGTCCTTTCACCAACATTGAGGCTGTGAAAGTCTTCTGCCAGAATATGTGTATCTCCATCCTGTTGAACTACTTCTACATCTTCTCCTTCTTTGGTTCCTGCCTGGTCTTTGCTGGACAGTTGGAGCAGAATCGGTACCACAGCATCTTCTGCTGTAAAATCCCCTCAGCAGAATACCTGGAAAGGAAGCCTATTTGGTTCCAAACCATGATGAGTGATGGCTACCACCACTCTTCTCACCACGAAACTGATCCGTACCAAAACCACTTTATTCAACATTTCCTGCGGGAGCATTATAATGAATGGATTACTAATATCTATGTTAAGCCCTTTGTGGTGATACTGTATCTCATTTATGCTTCCTTTTCCTTTATGGGCTGCTTGCAGATCAGCGATGGAGCCAATATTATCAATCTTCTCTCCAGCAATTCTCCAAGTGTCTCCTATGCTGTCGTTCAACAGAAGTACTTTAGCAACTACAGCCCAGTGATAGGGTTCTATATCTACGAGCCCCTTGAGTACTGGAACGGCACCGTCCAAGATGACTTAAAGAAGCTGACTGAAGGTTTCAACACCCTGTCCTGGATTCAACAGTATTACCAATATCTGAAAGCTGGGAATATTAGTGCCACCAACAAAAGCTATTTCCATAGCATCCTGCAAAGCTCCTTTTTAAGAAAGCCAGAATTCCAGCACTTCAAAAATGATATCATTTTTTCCAAGGCTGGAAATGTTAATAGCATAATTGCATCCCGCATGTACCTTGTGGCTAGGACTAGTGAAAAAACACAGAGAGATGTTATCGAGTTACTGGAGAAGCTGAGACCCCTGTCTCTGAAGCAGAGCATCAAGTTCATTGTGTTCAACCCCACCTTTGTCTTCATGGACCAATACAGCCTCTCTGTAACCATGCCGGTCTTGATTTCAAGCTTTGGCATCTTACTGGTGTTGCTGCTTACCTTCTTCCTGGTGATCCATCCTCTAGGGAACTTCTGGTTAATTCTCACTGTCACCTCAATAGAGTTGGGTGTTCTTGGCTTGATGACTTTGTGGAACGTTGACATGGATTGCATTTCCACACTGTGCCTTATTTACACTTTGAATTTTTCCATAGATCACTGTGCACCCCTGCTTTACACATTTGTACTAGCAACTGAGCACACCCGAACTCAGTGTATCAAAAGCTCCCTCCAAGAACACGGAACAGCAATTTTGCAAAACGTTACTTCTTTTCTTATTGGGTTGGTCCCCCTCCTTTTCGTGCCTTCAAACTTGACCTTCACACTGTTCAAATGCTTGCTGCTCACTGGCAGTTGCACACTTCTGCACTGTTTTGTAATCTTACCTGTCTTCCTAACATTTTTCCCACCCTCCAAAAAGCACCACAAGAAAAAGAAACGAGCCAAACGAAAGGAGCGGGAAGAGATTGAGTGCATAGAAGTTCAAGAAAATCCTGATCACGTGACAGCAGTCTGAGTCACGCAGAACTATATGGTTTTTAATTGCGAAAAGAAATGCTACACTGAGCTGGAGGGAGAGCAAAGAGCTCCGCTGCTTGCGCTGGCCCACACGAAACAAGGCTAAGGAAGCCCAAAAAGGAGTATTTGTGGCACATGGAGGTGAAAGTGTTGTTAAATAATAACCAGAGGTGTCCCCCTTTTAATGGTAGAGGAGGAAAACAAGCCCCAAACTTCCCCTATGATCCTCTCAATTCACTGAGGGAAATGTTCCACAATACCCTATAATACAAATGGAAGTTTCTGGGTAATATCTGTTGGTGTCCCTCTGCTGATGGAAGACACCCCTCAGTGGAATGGGAAGAGAGGCCTTTGGGGCCATTTCCCCTCCCCTGCAGCCTTTGCTAAATCTGCTGTGTAGGGTTGTGGGGCTCTCTAGAACAGATACAGGGGCTGGGCAAGGGGCTGAAGGGGGAGGCAGAATAATGGACTAGAATCCCGCTCTCCCACTGATGGATGTCTTTCAACAGCACAGAGACCCCCCTGGGCACCACTCCATATTGCCAAGTTCCATTACCAATAATTTTCAAGCCAGAAAAGGTAACAAAAACAGAGGGGAAGTAGTTATGGTCATAATAGGGAGCATGTTTATTTTAAGAGATTGGTCTAAGTAAAACCTATGCAGTTGGAAAGAAAATGTTCAGTAAATCAAAGCCAAAGTACTTCCCTATGTGCCACCATGAAAAACTGTGCCATTTGTTCAGAGAGTAAACCTATGCTCCCCTAAAATTAATTGGAGAGAAATTGGCTAAGCAGACCTTTGGCGATACTCCCAGGGCACTTGAGACCATCAGAGGCAGCCCCACGGATGTCAACCTGAATTCTAAGAGAGGCTCCTGGCTGCGCCACCTGTAATTTTTGCAGTGCTGTCCTTTGGCTTCCCACACATTCTCTGTACCAACATTAGATCAGAATACTAATTAGGCAGATGTGTCCACCGTCACATAGCTCAGGCTCCAAAGACACAGCATGGAGATCACTTTGTGCCTGAATCAGAAGTATTGAGCACAGAGCAAAGGGAAGCTCCACTGGTGAAGTTCAAAGTGAAATACCATTTCCCTGCCCTGAAATATTCTCTAAACTGCGCATCTTGTGTTTCACATCTTGGCAAACTGATCAGTTAATGATGCCTTTTGCCACAAAATATAATAATAATGAGAGTTATTAAACATAAAGGCACCAGCTGCTTGGAAAATGGGTTTTTATGCAGCATTACTATAAAATGCCTGATAGAATGTTTGAGGCAAAGCAAAGCTTTATGGCTGTTGAGAATTATAGATGAACGCAGTAAATTTGTCTCTTACTGCATGAGATTAGAGTTATACCATTACAAAAGGGTAGTCACTGCTTTACAAAGTATACAAGCTTAGAAGTGCAAGAGAAGGAATGGAAAGAGAGTGAGCCAATAATACTCAGAGAGGGTGATATTTTGCCCTGAGTTAAGCCACGTATTTCTCTCTTCCAAAAAGCATTCTAGAAAGTGTTTGCTTCCTGCATTCTTGAATGCAATCTAGCCTTGCATAAACAATGTCTTCCTGCAATATATTCCATATGTTACAATCACTGTTTAAAACAAATGTCAAAGAGAGTGTGAGGAAGGGGTTCTTCCCTTTCGAAGGAGGTTCAGACCGCCCGCCCAGTCCTTCCATGCATGTGGCTGTGTTTGTAAGAGGGGACTGACACACCGCTCAGTGGAGTCCTCCCCTCCTTCCCCAGCTGCCCCTTCAGTAAGGTGGGGTGAGTAAATCCTAAGCAAAATCCTGGGGATGAGGTGGAAGTGCTCACGATTCTCCCACGGAAAGTAATGACAAGCCCAAATATTGGCAATGCAGGGGAGAAAGAGGGCTTCCATGGCCCACATGCAGCCACATCCCATGTTCTTGGTTGTAGCTGCTATCTTAACTTCCATGACACCAATGCTGTAAACAGATTCTGATTAGCAAATGTGTCTGATCCAAAGCCATATTCTGTAAAAACACACACCATATTATGTCATATTGAGTCAGACCATCTAATTCTTATTCTGACTGATGGTAGCAATTTAAGACTGAAGGCAGATTTCCTTTTAACTGGAGATGCCAGGGATTTAATCTGGGACGTTCTACATGCAGAGGATGCATTCTAACAAAGCACTGTTATGTCTCCACAGCTAAAGTGTTGTGGATAACTATTACCCTGCTTATACATTTTCCATCTCCATTGATTTTATTTTATGAAAAGCATATCCTAAAAAAAGGTAACTGCTCTCAAAATCCCCATATATGCCATCTGCTGCCACAAAATGCTAACATTTTTCACTTATTTTCTCTGTTGTCAACATCAGTATCTGAAATGTTTAAATCCAAACAGAAAAGTTTAACTTAGTGTGGAATTTGTCTGCTCTTAATCTGGACGTTCACCATTTGGTTGACATATTCTCATTGGCAGGTCTTTGTCTACAGCATTTGAAGACTCAAGTATTCTCATCTGGTAAATCAGCATTTTAAATTATGAGCAACACCTTAATGTCTTGATGTCAAACTTGATTTTGTAACAGGCTACATTTTAAAATCTTGTCATGCCAAAATCAGGGATGGGTAGGAAGAAGATGGGCATGGCAGCATTTGTCGAGGACTCACATACTCATTCATCACAATCTCTTGTCTTCCTGAACCCATTCAGATGACAGCAGGTGAGGTCCAAGCATGGTGAGAAGGGAAGAGAGGATACTTTACCTGAGGCCGGCTGGGGGAAGGCCAAGGCTACTTGATCGCCCATTTGATTGCCCTATGGAAATGATCAAAGTTATGTGTTAGATGCTTTAGGTGGCACCTCTCCTGTTCCATCCCCACCATCAGGCCTCAGTGCCCTTCACCTGTTGGAGGTTGAAGGTGTGCAGCAAGGAACCCAGTAAACTTGTGCGGTCTTCCAGCATGATTTAGATGATTGACTCTGCAAGGTTCTTGAGCACTTGGAGGCTTTAATGGGGCCAAGAGACAAGGATGCAGCTCACGGCTATCGAGCATCCCTGCTTTGCCTCTCTTTGTGCCGGGACAAGGACAATTGGACAGAGTTTATATTGTTCTATATCTTTATGGTGATATTTCCTGGAGCCAAACAGAAGTAGTGTTAGAATGTGTATGCATGTTTGTGTTTGTTTGTTTGTTTGTTTGTTTGTTTGTGTGCCTGTGTGCGCGTGTGCAGATAGATAGGTAATGTGCTTGCTTGGGCAGGAAACTCTAGGAACTGTAGATTGAAAAAGTGGTACACCTTTCCATCTCTCTCTTGTGACATAATCTCTCTCTTGTGACATAATCTGTCAAGCACTAAAAGAGATCCTTTGTTCTTCATTCATTTCCTACATTCATAGGCAGGAGGAGATTGCAAGGTATGGTAGTAGGAATGAGGGACTAGCACCATAAGAATGTGGTAAATGGAGGGCCAAACTACAAGTGTTCACACTTAAATCGTGTGAGTATATTTTACAGTTACAAATAGCAGCCTCCCAGGGAGAACAGGGTTAAGGCCATTGTGCCAGGGAGGAGGAACGAAGAGCTACTACCACAGTCCCAAAGAAAATCTCCCCTGAAGCTGCTGCTTGAATTACAGTAGTAGGGATCCCACTGCTACCGAAGGGTGCTTTCCTCCCAATGCAAACAGCAGCTTGCGGGGAGACAGTTTGCATGAGGACCATGGCATGGGAGGACTGGATTAACTCCCCTACTACAGGCCATGGCCCTAGTCATAGTTGCAACTACTGTTTGCAAAAAGGTTATCTTGCAAGTTCTAAAAATCCAGGAGGCCTTCTCTCTCCTTCTCCTCCACCTCTTTATCTCTGTCTCTGTTACAGTTTTTTACTGAGCCCATAGAAATGAGCTTGAGCACTTCACACAGAAAGAGGCAGACACCTCCTACCTTGCAAATCATTCATTATACAAAGACTATGCCCATTCTCACCTGTTTCCAGGCAGGTTCCTTCCACAGTGCTTTGAAGGCAGGGGCGTAGGAAGGGGGCCGGTGGGGGCGGACTGACCCAGATGTCATCCCAGAGGGGGGAGACAAAATCCCCCCCCCGGGCAGATCACCGCCACGCCGATCACTGCCCTGGGCGGATCGCCCGGCCCCCAGGTGCACGGGGTGTGCGCTGCTTCGGGTGCCCGAGCGGCTGGCTCTGCCGCTGTTTGAAGGCGGTTTCTTTTCTTATGCCATGTGATAAAGGAACAACTATAGAGACAAAAACAAACCCCCGTGTTGCAATACAGAATAATCTGCTCAAATGCAGCTGCAACACGTGGCTAATGAATATAGTAAATGTGTTATTATTAGTAGTAGAATGTCATCCAAAATTACAATTCATCAACTTCAAAATAATATATATATCAGTCCATAACCAAGAAGCAGTCGACAAAATGAATTGCTGGCGGGGAACACCATGACGCCTTTCAATGGATGAAGTCCAAGATAGTATATCCGGATTGAATTAATTGTTTCAAAGATGAATCTTCTTCAGCTGATGATAAAATTGAATACATTGCATACAATGAATGACTTCTTGGTTATGGACTGATATATATTGTATACACTGGAGCAGCCTTTGGCTATAAGCAATAAAATTGACTGACTGACTGATATATATATTATTTTGAAGTTGATGAATTGTAATTTTGGATGACATTCTACTACTAATAATAAAACATTTACTATATTCATTAGCCATGTGTTGCAGCTGTATTTGAGCATGTGATAAAGGAAGGCAAGAGGAAAACATTTTGAGAGGACCTGAAATGCCCCTTTCAAGATACCACTGTAGCTTATCAATGTATTCATTTTTTTGCATTCATACTGTATCTCTGTTACACACCATTCTTGATCTGTCCTTTGGTTACAGCAGAGCTGTAGTCCATAGACCTTAGTCTGCAGGAATCAGACTAACTTTGGAGACAACTTTGGAGAGTTGCTATGTTCTTTTGCTGTTTGTGTTAGCCACCCAAGGAAGACATGTGATTTAGACTAGACATATATAGTAACAGTGAATATATAAATGTCTACTCAGAAATAAGCCCCAGGATAGCAATTCTATGCTCTGCAACTAGGTCTGGAACGATAACAACAATTTTTGGGGTGGTAGGGGCAAGAATAAGGGGGACATCAACCCCCCCCATGTTTTGTTATAAAAAGCACATCAGAGA